CAACACAGAGAAATGAAATGGTTCCTCCACAATGAAAAAACAATGCTCTGTGTTGCTTTCAAAGACAAAAAAGCACAAAAAAAATGGTCATTATGGTTTCAACAGATGTTGAATTGGGCACCGCAAAAGTGAACGATGTTGACAAGCCTTTGATGGTCGACACTTACAATCGAAACATGAATGGGTGTGACAAGCTAGACCAGAAAGTGACCTACTGTGTCTTTGACAGAAAAACCATCAAGTGGTGGAAAAAATTGTTTTATTGGCTGTTTGAAATATGTCAAGCCAACTCCTACATTTTATTTTGCCTCAGCCAGAAAGCTGGTGCAAGAAAACTGTCTCTGAAAGACTGCAAGCATGTTCTGATTTGACAGCTTACACAGAATGTAGTTTTGAATGAACAAATCAGAGCTCCTGGTAGACAACAAGAGACAGGTTGCCTGGAAAAATCTAAGAGTCAGCATATAGTGGACTACAGCAAACGGGGCAGAGATTGCGTTTTTTGTTAGACGAGCACTAAACGGGCCAGAACCCATTTTTTTTGGTCTGGATGTGAAGCAAAGCCTCATTTACATCCTAAAGGATGCTTCAAATACTTTCATGAAGCACAATAACTTTGTTGGCTGTTAGACAATGTTTTTTCTCTCATTTTCTGTATATAGTGTACAAAGTTCAGTTTTCATAGAAAATGTGTAAAAAAAAATAATTAATTTCAGGTGTGTGGCCAAAAAATTCATAACTTTTTTATTTCTTGTGCAATTTCAATTAAGCTCTGCTACTTTCTTACAAACATATTTTGGTATAAATTTTGTAAAAACAAGCTTCTTTGGATTTATATTTATGGATTTCCATAACCGTAAGTTGAGTTTAAATTTAAAAAAAAAATTATTTTTTTTCCACAGTATTGTACTTAAACTTTAATAACTTTTTTATTTTTGTAATTTTCTTATTCATGTTTACAGTATAACATTCAATGACAAAAACATTGATATGCTACTTCCCATAGAAACTAAAAAAAATGATTGTATATAAAAACATACAATACTATCACTAGAACATTTTTCAGCCGGTTTGTTTGTTTTCTCCGTTGCATTGACAAAAACTAACGTATGGAATGATTTAATTTTATTCTTCTAAATAGATTATGCATTATAGAAAATTCACCAAAGAATTAAATAATTCATTATAGAAATAATTTTTAAAATTTAAAACATTGTGCATTGAAATAAATGCAAGAAGTTTTTGTGTCTTGGTTACTGCTTCTCATCTGCTTACAATTGATTTTCTAGCAAAACTTGATCCTTTAGATGAGCCCATATTTCCAAATGAGCTTCTCTCAACTTTTGATAGACTCCAAAATATACTAAGATTGATCAAAAAGATGAAAAGTCTAGAACTAAAGGATCCATTTGTCAAAAGCAATGGCTCCTACTGGAAAGAGGAAGATATTTTTCAGTATGTTGTTTATTTATATTAATAAAAAAAAAGTATCTTGTAGTCTTTTTATATTATTGTTGTTATTATTCATTTTTTTAAATATTTTAAATTATTATTATTTTAAATATATTATAACAATTTATTGGTAACAATTATTCATTCATATTTTTTCTGTCAGAAATTATCTCCATTTTGAAAGTATTGATCCAGAAGCTCTAAATGATCCAAGATGTGTAACTGTGGAATCCTTTGACCTGTTTGTCTATTCAGGAGTGGTACTTTAAACCTTATTTTAAAAAAAACTTATCTATTCATTTTTTTTCTCTTTTTTTTCCAAATATTTATGGTTGAAAATTTTGTTTTCAGAATAATTTTGAAACTGTTTTGTTTCCTGCTTCCTTCAAAGATGAGTTTCAACCAGAATGTTTAAATCTAACTGCTATTGAAATATCTGATGAGTTTTATGCTCAAAATGAAGGTTAAATAGGTTCTCTCATACTGCAGTCAGTAAAAGTTTATTTTCTTAATTTAAAATTCATTCTCTGACAGTATTACTTGTATTAAGATACACTTACAAATATAAAATTATATATATCTTAATGAAAAATAAATGGTATTTATTAATTTTTAAGACAAGTTAAGAAATTTGCTGAAGGGTGAAACAGCTTCTTCATATTTTGTAACTTGCCTTGATGATGAGGATTACTGCCTGGATGTTGAAAATAGTTCAATGCCTTTGTTAGAGTCTCACATTGACGGTAAATTTAAATGACTTGATGCAGTCAGACAACTATTGCACACATATTTATATTGGACTTCTTTAGTTCTTTCAAAGTTTATTTTTTAGCTATAAAGAGTTGGTCTACATGTTATGATATTTATATTACCTGTTACATTGTAATTGAAGAAGTCACATGAAGTTCAGTATAAAGTTGTTTGATGTAAGAAAAGTTTTTGTTATATTATTAATTATTTTATTAATTGTTATAAAGCTGGTGTAAAATAATTAAGATCTTTTTTTAACTGATTTTTATAGGTAAGGGGTCAGAGTGTTTGACACAGCCAATATTTAGTTGTTCTCTGTTGGATAACCAGCATGCCATGGAAACTGACATTACAGAAGAACTTTTAAATAAGTTGAGCATTCATGAAGAAGACTTAAGTCTGTTGCCAATGTAAGAATCTGTATACTTAGACATTTTGAATTGAAACATTTTATTGAACTCAGTTAAATTGTTGAATCATGAAGTTTACAATAGATATAAGCACCAAGAAACTATTTTAAGATATATGTTATGAAATGGAACTTTTTTTTTTTGTTTATTATTTTTTTTTCCTCCAGCTCCATTTTGAATTCTAGACAGTTTATGAATTTGGAAAGGAAAGTCTGGTGTAAAGAGAAACACTATGATGAGATGCAGATCCCAGGTAAATGATAAGCAAATTATGCGCTGATAATAATAAGGCTTGTCTTTGAGTCCAAAGATTAATGAGGAATGCAGTATTTCCTATGGCCACTATTGATATATTAATTACATCTTTAAAAAACTACTATAAAATATCAAAAGTCAATAGAGCTACTTCATTAAAAAAAATTATGTTACATTATTTCAGGTCAAATTTTGTAAACTTAGAAAATATTTTTTTTTTCAGAATATTTTTTAAGAGATTTTTTTTTTTTACATAATAGATAATATCTCTTGAAATAAAGAATCAATCTTTTGTATTCATTGTTTTTTATACTAAAATATTCAAAGAGGAATGTTTACAAAGGTTATCTCAACTCACTCTGTCTGTCAGGTCAAATGTTTGTACACATTATTTCTGCCACACCCAATCTCAGATCAAGTTGAAACTTTGCACAAGTATTTCTAGTACCTGGCTAATTAACCAATCAGTTAATTAACTATTGGTAATTAATAATTTTGATTGGCATCAAACAAGGGAAAGAAATCATACTTGACAGATGTGATGGTATAAATTGAATTAGTTCCCTTGTGGAGGCTTGAGCCCTGAGTTTCAATTCAAATCATCTTTTTTTGTTTTTTAAAGCAATCTTGATAACATTCACCCAAAAAATAAATAACTAGAGTAAGAATAATAATTTTATTATAGACAGTCAACAAGAAAAAGTTACACTATTGCACAAAATTGTGCACATTTAAATGTATTGTCTGCTTCCCTCTGAACAGTTCCACTCCTGCCATGTGTGATATACCCAGATTTTTTTGATGAAGCTACAGAGTTCCTTGGGATATCAGAAATGGACTTGAGTTCACTGGATGAGCATCTGACATGGAATATTAGCTGCCCTAGAGTATCAAGTCCAACTTCATCGGTTTCAGGTCTGCACAATGATGCCGAGAGTTTTTTTAAACTTGCCTCACCTGAAGAGTTTGAGAGAATCCCTTTCTTTGATTTGGGTATACAGTTTTTAATGTCTGTAGGCTTTTGTTCTTTTTATTTAATTTAATAAAAGTAAAATATGAGTTCTTTTTTTTTTTTTTTTTAAATTAAAATCATTGTTTAGAATCTCAGTGGGAGTGTGCAACAAAGGATAACATTGGAAGGGATAATGAACAGACTCTTAGTGGTATGCATTTGAATTTCAATTAATATTACTTAATATTTCTGCAACATTAGTGTCAAATATAAAAAAAGATAGTATATTGTACTGGCTAATTAAAATATGCTGGTTAACATTCAACCACAACAGCCTTTCCTTTTCTTTTTTATATTATTATTATACTTCTGCCAAAAGCTACTCCTGTTCCAAATTTTTTGATTAGGGTTAAAGAAAAAACAACAAGTTAGTTGAAGTTTATTTTATAATAAAATTAATAATTTGGCTATTTAATTTTATGTAAGTAAAATTCCTACAAAATTAAATTTAAATGTCAAAAATCTAATTTAATAGTACAGCAAACAATTCATGATGACTTTGATGCAAAACTACATGACCCTGTAGATGCTTTCCTTCAGGTTAGAGCGAGACAGAAGTCTAAAGAGACACCAGGTTTGTTTATGTATATTTAAAATTGGTCAAATATGTTTTATATTATTCACAAATATATAACCATATTTCTACAAAATAGTCACATTGTTTAAATAACTATTACAGTTTTAAATTACTGACATTGTTTTTTATATCATATTCAGATATGTTACATTCATTCATTCAAATCTTATTGTTTGTTGTATCATATTCACATATGTTTAAACATTAATTCATTCAATTCCATCTTATGCTACATGCTGTGTACAAGTGAGATATATTTAAATCTTTCAAAGTAGATTAAATTGTCTTATGTCTATTAGGGCACATTTGTATGTTGACCTCTGTATTGTTAATTTCTAAATTAAATTGATTATATTATGTATGTCTTTAAAAAAAAGTTAACAAATATTCTTTTTTTTTTAATAGACACTAGTCTTGGTGAAACAAGTCAAACAAAGCTTACAACTCCAGTTATACAAAGTGTTATCACACCAATGGTCCCTACTGGAGTGGAGAAAAGCTTTTCAAAAACTATAGAAGTCAACATAACAGGTGAAATATATTCTCACATTTGATTGAAGAACTTTGGAACATTAAATCCACCAATCTCATCAATCTGTGACAAGAGTTTTTGTTTTGGTTAATTGTTGTTTATTTTGTATTTGTTGCTTTTGTCTTTTTGATAGTTTTAAAAGTACATTTTAAATTGGCTGTGAATGGTGCACCAGTTCCAAATTTTGAATAGAATTAGAATATTTTTTTTTAGTTTGGTAGCACCTTCAATTTATTTTTTTCTAAGTTCTTTCTAACTATTGACCATTAGCTACAAGAAGAAGGTGTGAACTTACAACTGATAAGATCATTTGCCATCTGGTCAATAAATCAAAACATTCATTGGACTTAAATTAACAAATCGGTCAACTTACTTGAATCTGCTTTTTTTCCACCTCAGCAGATTTTAATGAAGTGATTAGCTAAGTTTCTTAAAATCTCAGTGATTTTCTTTATATATTTTTGTGTATTATCTTTGGTGGTCTCACTTATTATTACTTTTTTTAATTGGTTATTGGCTGTGTTCATTTCAACTAAAACTAAAGTCTTATTATACTTGTTAAAGTTTTTCTAAGTTATATAATATCTTCTAGAAAGTAAATGATGATTATATTTTTACAATCTTTCATTGAGAGGTTGAGGATGATGTCTTATTGAATAATGATATTGTTTTTGATAATTGTTACAAATGTATATTTTACAGAATCTTTTAAAGAAGTGTTGGAATATATTCAAGATTATGCCAAGCCCTATATGACTTCCCTAAAGATGCTTAGTATTTTGTCTTCCAATGTCACCTTTATGGACATTTCTGTTGATAAAACACAGTTTCTTCTGAAGGAATATCTAAAACAAAACTCAAGCAGATCTAAAAATATTAGTTCATCACAAAAATCAACTGATTTTTGTAAGCAATTTTAAAAAATACTTTTCACCTTTTTGTCTCTTGTTTAAAGTAAATAAATATATAACTATTTTGCAAATAATTAAGAGACATGATATTTTACTCCAATGATTAATTAAGTCAAACGATCCATTTCTTCCAGCCATGCTTATAAGTCTTTACATAGTGCACACACTGAGATCAGCTGCAGATCTTCTGTTACATTGTGGTCTAGAGACTTGCATTTCTTGGGTCACATCACAGATAGAAGGTTGCCCTTCTAACTCTGACAGTAAGTTTAGTATGACAGTAAGTTTAGTATTCATTTTATTGGTTTGAATTAGCTTACAGTTCAAATATCAGATGCTTTTGTGTAAACATGCTTACTAAATAATGTATGTATATACTTAAAAAAGCGCAATGAAGTTGTCATACTCCAAGAAAATGTCTTATATCTTAATTAGTCTGTGTCATATTCATTCCTTTCAGAATCACTGAATGAACTCTGTAAACAGTTAAGGCTGTATCAGTGTACTTTCCACCAAGAAAACATCTTACACCCTAAACTAAGCACTTTGTGTCATGAAATAGAGACTTTTCTAGCACACTATGCAAGTTCTAAGGTTTGTAGCTGTTATAATAGCTAGTAAAGTTTCCCTTTTCAGACCTTGCGATCTATGGGGCAGATGATGCTAAGGTCATCTGTTTCTTTGGCCAACAAGCAGTGTCATGTGGCCAGCACAACAACCAACCACATTTACTTTCCCCAACTTAAGTACCCATTAGAGTTGGGTGGACTCAGGGGCACCCTAAAAATCCCGAAATTTAAAATCCTAGTCTTCACCGAGATTCGAAACCAGGACCCCAGGTTCAGAAGCCAAGCGCTTGGCCACTCTGCCAACGCGCTCCTTTTGTTAAAAAGTAAGTGAAAGAAAAATTGCTTAGTCTTATAAATATTGAGATATTGTGACCACTAGCTTAACAAATTGTTGTATGCCTGCACTCAATACAATTATTCTTGTGAAAACTGCATTCGTTTATATAAAGAACAAAAATCACCTAGTAATTGCATTGCTGAACTCCTCAAGACTCAACGTACATTGGATGACTTCATAGATTACAGCCAAAAAACAAACAACCAAAAGAACAACTGCTACATCTAGTGATTTTTATTTAAAAAAGGAACAAAATATGATAAGTTAATGTAACATGAAAAAAAACCTGTTCAAATTAAGCTTTAAAAGCCTATCAATTACTTTGTATCAGTCATATTATCATACGTACAATCAGTGCTTTTTTTTTGTAAGAAATAGGTGCCGGTACTCAGTGATGGATTGCCTAACTTTTAACTATTAATAAATTAATAAGAAACGTTGGGTAAAAATATAATTGTGTGGAATTTTATTTTAATCCGAGATTGGGTGTGGGCAAACTAACGTGTACAATCTTTTTACCAACATAGACAGACAGAGTGAGCTGATATAAGCTTTGTAAAAAAAAAAGTCTTTCAATATCTTTGAAAAAATATCATTGATCAAAAAGATTGTAGAAGTTTAAACTACACAATAGTGAGAACTAGATCTAGATGCTACATCTTTGTCCTAACCTTTTGTTGAATTGATCTGCCAGCCCTTCAAAAGGAACACATCGGAAAAGTGCACAGAGAACACCTAGAATAGAAACAACATTCTTTTCAAATCTTTTTTCAAATCTTTTTATGTAGCCAGCACAACGACCAACCACCTTTACTTTCCCCAACTAAAGTCAGGTACCCATTAGAGTTGGGTTGACTCAGGGGCCCCCTAAAAATCCAGAAATTCAAAATCCCAGTCTTCACCGGGATTTGAACCCAGTACCTCAGGTTCGGAAGTCAAGTCAAGCGCTTAACCATTCGACCACCGCGCCCCCTGAAATAGCTAGTACCAAGATTTTTTTTTGCACCCCCCCCCCCCCCCCATGTGTATGTATATATATATATATATATACACACACACACAATTAATCGGTATTACGTTCCAACTTCATTCTTTCGGACAACACTCCACCCTTGCTAGCTAGGAGGTCTGGGGTTACTTTAAAGCATAACCTTTATTTTCACTTATTCAAAGTCCTTCCTGTTTCTTGCCAATCTTAACATCTCATGCAAGTCCTGAGAAACTTGTGACATGGTATAGCCACCAAAGTTTGGATTTTAAACATTTTTGTAAAGCGCAGTAGTCTTTGTTTCTTGTAAGAATAACTCATTTGTACTTTGGTCTCTCTTTTTTGTTTGTTTTAAATTTTTTAAACTTTCAGAAATGAATGTGAATTATGTCTTAGCCCAAACTTCCTTTAGGAAAGCTGACAATGGCAGCAGGCAAAATTTTAACTCAGGATAATCATGATTACATTCTAGAGCACATACCACACACCGGGCAGCCTTTCACTGTCACTGCCCTAAAGTTCCATGTCTGTCATATACACAACTATTTTGGTTCTAGATTATCGTCTTTTAAATTTTTCATAATATTAACATTATATAATTACACCTTGACAAAATTGAATTAAGAATTAGAATTTAAATATATAATAACTTGATAAATTTGAAAATTCAAAATAAGTTGCTTATTATATTGATTTCAACAACACAGTCAGCAACAAGAAATAGTTTGTTTAGATATTTCAAATGTCTTTAATTATTTTTCTTTACAATATTCCAGGTGTTAATAATCGTTCAAAGAGGATTTTCCAAACTATTATCAGTCATTCAGCATGTATTGTCAAAAACACTCAAACTGACACCTTTTGTTGGTACAGATTTAAGAACTCTGCATGTGCAAGAGTAAGACATTTACATTTTTTAATAGATTTATAGGTTCTACAAGGTAGATTATGTATGGAAATAGTTAGTGGTGCATATTTTAGTCCTATCTAATCTATGTATTAGGCATGTATTATATTATTATTATTCACTTTACACTGACTTATGCTAAAGAAACTGAGAGCAATAAATCATTTTTAGGGCATAAATGATCAATTCCTATTTGTTTTATTTTTTATGGGTCTAGGTCACCTGACAGAGTTTTCATAGTACCTTATATTGAGTGCCAGATTCAGCATGTCTCATCTTTCTCTCTGGTTGTTGTCTTTGATGAAAGGATGGGCACATTTTTTAGAAACCTCTGCAGAGATCATGATATAGCTTACTTTGATCTAAAAACACAGTATACACCCAGTGTAGGTGTTGCAAGTAAGTAAATGTCTTTGATATTTCATACTATTTAATGAAATAAATAAAACCCTTGTAAATAGAACATGATTATTGTTGATCACTCATGACAACACTTTCAGAAAGTCAAAGCAAGCCTTTTTGGGAAGGGCCAGTGGATTTTAAATACTTAAGCTTTTCAATGTTTTAAAGAGATGCATGCCCTCAATTTTCAATGGTGTCAATTTCCAATCTGTTAAATGCTGTGATTATCATTTTGGCATGTTAGATCAATTGCCAACACACGTAGGTAAAGGCCAAAGTAATCTCTTTATTGCTATAATTTGTAGATAAGATATGCCTACAATGATGTTTAACAAAAGCTATTTTGGCTAAATCATAGTTGGACTGTTGTTGTTTTTTTTTTTTAAATACATTTTTTTATAGTTTATGTAAAAACAGCTGATGAAGGCAATGCCTGATTATTATTAGTTAATCTATTGTTTGATTTTTTGTTAATGATCCTGTATTTTTTTTCTTTATTACACTCAACTCCTAAATATCTTTGTTTCCATTAAATGCTTATCATATTTTGTGAACTTTTGTAGAGACCAATGAAGCCTGTAAAGAATTGACCTCTCCCATTTCTATGATTTGCTCTACTTGTTTGACTCAGTACAGACAGCTGGTTTATTTGTTAGAAGCAAGGTAATTTGCATGTATTTGCCCTACAAGTTCTTACCTCTGAAGTTTATCAGTAGAACCTTTTCCTGGCTTTTAACACTACAGTCCTCAACTAAACATAGTGAGGTTTAAATCCTTTTCACCCTGCTTTTATGGGTATCTGTTAAAGAAAAAAAGCTAGTGGTGACTAGTTACAGTTAGTTATAAAAGTGAATTGTACTGTACCTGCATCATGTGGTCTGTATATGCTTCAACCTTTGCCTACAAGTCTGTTTTACTACCATTCTTACAACAAAATTAGTTTACTCTAACAACAAAAGGATGATCTGTTATTTAGTGAGCAGGACTTATTTGTAAACAGTTGTGCTATGATATTTGTTTATTTTTTAATAAAAAAACAGACAAGTTAGAAAACTAGATAGTCAAAGTTAACTCTGTGTTTGATTGGTAGATACAACATTTTGGTGATTGAACGTGACTACAGGACATTGAGCTGTGGAAAGCAAATCTACTTTGCTGACCTTATTGTTG